TGTGCTCTGGAGTCGGGGCGGTGATGGGAGGTGGGGGCTAGAGGGAGTGCGCAGTCCTGAGGTAAGATTCTTCCTCTGCCACTTATTCGCTGTGTGAACTTAGACAACCTACATAATACCTCTGAGCCTCAATGATTCCTTTATAAACTGAGGATAATAGCATTTACTTTTGCCTTGTGGGTCGTTGTGTTGTGTAATGTGCTTGCCACGTAACTTAGGTGTTCATTAAACAGTAGCTATTGTTGTTAAGATCTGGCCATGAGGAGACTTCAGGGTGACACAGAGGCCACCATCCTAAAGCTTCTTAGGGAAAGGGGCAGCCCTAAATGTGAAGCAGTCTAAAAATGAGCACTTTCATTTTAAAAGAGGATGGCAAGGAAATGGCATTCATTTTTGTGATGAAATTGTATATGTGATGCAGATCAACATGTTAGAAGTAGGGGATTTGATTGGAAGATGAGAGGGTCCTCTTTCTCCCTAGTTTATATAGCCTTTTCCCAGTTGTATTGCTAAATCTGTAAATAGGAAAAAGAGTTTGAGCTATGATGTACCTTAGTTTCTACACCTGAAAATTGGAGGTGTCATCTATCTTATTTGTATGGTGTGAAAGGTGAATGAAAATATATAGAAAAGCTTGCAGTTTTGATGAGGGAATATTAATAAATGTAAAGCATTACAGTGGCAACTGCAATTACAAAATGAGAATTCTCCTTTCCAGAAGTACTTGAGGAAGACAGAGAAAACCAATGTATTGTACTGCTGATTTCAAAGGAGTTGCTTCAAGGCCACAAGATGCTAAGAAATTGAATGCTTTCAGGGAAAGGGGCATTAATGATTTTGTTGCTTAAATTTTTTAAGTTGCACATGAGTGAGCAAAAGAAGTTTTATTCCAGGTGCCTTTGCAATCCAGTGGGTTTATTATATCCATAAGGCTATAGGATCAGTCTGTAGACTTCTGCTTTTCTTCCCTGCAGTAAAAGCGATGTCTCTGTTCTTTCATCTCATCACCACTTAGGTTCTTCAGGGTAATAAGAGATAGAAGAGAAACACACCTGGTCCCCCTCTCAAGGGTGTATCATTCATATTTCCCAGCTACATTGTTAGTTGTCCTACTGTAAGTGCCCCAAAACAAGAATAAGATTACCTGACAAAATTATGTCTCAGAAATTTAAAATAAAGTTTGCTTACTTCTTGCTTCCCCACCCTTCACTTTATACCACACACACCCATCCATACTCCTACACACATACCGGAGGCAGGAAGAGAATTCAAAAAACAGGGTGATATCTACTCCATCTCTCAGGTTCAATACCTGCTGTAGGAGATGCTCGTGTCTGGCCTCCATACTTTAAAGGTATCTTCAGATAACCTGCACTATCCATTATGTTAGTGGATACTTGGTTTTCTCTTTAGTTGTGCAATTTCTCTTTTCTGTGCTGCTATTCAGGGTCAGATTTGTCTGTTTTCCATAAATGAAAGCTTCTCCTGAAACTTTGAGGCTGCATCCAAATCAAAAGAACTTACATATTTTGTTACATCACCATTTACTTTGAAAAATATTTTCTTTGTCCTATTAATTTAGCTTTTATAGTAACATAGTGAAATATTTCATGATTGACTACAAATATTAGACATTGGGTCTGTAGCTGTTATCATCACTTTAAGATGTAATGATCCAGTCACAGTACCTCAAGTTCTGATCATTCCCAGGGACAAAGTGCCCTGTACTTTTGAATCTGGGTAATTACCCAGGGGTAGTCTGAGGATGCACTGTGAAAGATCTCAAGGAAGAAAAGGCAAACACTGCACACTAGTGCTCTGTGAACCTAACCACCATAATTCTAATTTTATTTGAGTGTCCTGTGGTCATAAATAGCTACCTATTTTCGTGAAGGTGTAATTCACAGTGGACATTTTAATATGTAAAAACCCTCCCTGCTGGAAAGTTACAAACATTAATCAAAGTGCAATCTTAACCCCCCTCAAAGTAATGTAACAGAAGAGCAGAAAAATCACTAAAGCAAAAGGTGTGACATTTATTTTTACAAAAGCAATAAACATGAGATGGGTAATATAAACTTCATTCATCTGTGTCCTACTTCTGAGATCTGTTGCTATCTGAAACATTAGTTTCCTGTATCTAGTTCCTTCCCTCTGTAATATAATAATTTAAAAAAAAACAAAAACATTTTGAATTGGCACCTTTTGTATTTCATTATTAGCATTGTGCCTGAGTCCAGAACCAGCAATTTGCATATTATTTGTTATTACCCATTAAAGTCCATGCAGAGTATACCATCACTAAATCAGAAGTTCATAATTGAACAAATGAGACCTGAAAATATGTTAAATTCATTTTTATAACAATTGAAATTTAATAATTTTAATAATTATAAGCTGTTTATGCATAAAATCTACTGCCATATTTGCTATTACCAGGGAGGAAGAAATTTTCCTCTACCCCTCCAGGATCTTCTGGCTGGTCTAAGAATTAAATTGACATGAGACAGATTAACAGGAGAAAAGTCAAACAAAGTTTAATAACGTGTATATATGGGAGAGACCCAGGAAAACTGAGTAAGTTGCCAAGATGGCTGAATCCCTCACCTTAGGTACCATCTTCAGCTAAATACGAAAGGAGGTTGGGGTAGTGGCTGGAGACTTCAAAGGGGAGGAGGGCAATTCACATGGAGATGGAAAAGCAAGTGTTTGGTAAACACTTGTTCTCTGGGTCATGCTGAGACAATGGAATACAGAGTGGACTCTGATCTCTGGGCTCTGTCAAGTTTCTCCCACCACACCTGGCCCATATTCTTTGAACTTACCTCTGGTGATGGCTCTATTCCAGGAACAGGACCTCTATCTAAAAAGTTTTTAGGCAGTTAGGAGGCAGGTCAAAGTCTCTTCCTGAATCTTTTGAGCCTTGATTTGTTTTCAGGTCAAAATAATCCTCATACCAAAGAGACATTTGGGGGTGGCAAGTTTTGCTCTCCTACACTATCAGAATGTTGAGGACACATCAGAAATATCTTTCTAAAGTCACTGCAAGGAACAGCATTTCTCCTCAGGAGTAGTATGAGCACATTTCCTATTTTGCCCCTCCTGCCAGACAACCTTGAACCATACTTGAGTCATAATAACTGTGTGAATATATATAAACATAGTCCTAATACATCATTTTCCCTGATCCTGAGTTTTATTTATACAAATGTTTTCTTTCATAATCTTTTGGATCACACAAACAAAATCTACCTGTCCTATGTAGTTTCTGATCTCTAGATTTTAGTCTAACACCCCTGGGATTACAAGTGTATGTTTTTGTTGTGAGTCACCACAAAGCATGTGGGAAAAGGTAGAGTTTAATTAAAATAAATAAAATTATATGTTTATAATCAACAACCTGCAAGAAATTAAAATATTGATGACTCAGCTGTGATGAAATTAGGGAGGACTGAGCTATCTGTCACACCATCCTGTCTGAAAATGTTTTCTGTTTACAACAACAATATCAAACCAAAGAAGAAACACATTGATCAACTATCCCCCCACCCACACCCTCCATCTTCAAAGTTATTTTCTTCCTAAAGAAAAATTCACAGAAACTCTATCTGGATTTTCTTTTCAAGTCCCAAATCCTTTATATGAATGTCTTAGTCATGTTATTGGAGACAGAATTCATGCTTAATTAGAATTTATCAGATAGTTGTTATATGTGGCCCTCCCTGAGTTATTTTTAAGAGATCAAAATAGGACTCACATCTGAAATCTGACAGTAGTTATTGAAATTGTACCTAAAATGCTGATTTAGGGGTGCTGACTTTGTATTGCTTACCTTGCAAAGCAGGGTCTGGAAACAGTTCTGATTTAACCTCATTGCACTAATTACTATAAACTCCTTCCATGAGTAGGATAATAATTGCCATTCTAATTGTTGCCCTAAAAGTGGAATAACTACAATGCAGCCATTAGATAATAATATATGATTGTCTTAAGTGTATGCATGTGTGCTGACATTTAAGGAGGTATCTGAAGTCAAGCAGTACCCATTTTTCAATGAGTATATGAGGATATGTGTAATAGTCTATTAAGATGGTAATATTACTCCTGTTGCACAAAAGTGTTTAACAGTGATTATTGATGTGCAGTCTTCATAACATCGGAGCAGAAAGACATTGGAACACTGGCACCATCCTTTAGCTTAATGCTGGCTGGGTTGTTGTTGTTTTTTTTCTCATTCTGTCTTGTATTATAGTTATTTATGCCTCTTTATCATCTCCTCAACTAGAGTTTTCTAAAGTCAGGAATTGTATTTTATAAAATCTTTAGATTCAATGTAGAGCCTAATTCATGGCATACACGGACACATCTACTTAGGAACCACCTGAGTTTCATTTTACAGTCATTATACAAAAATATCCCTTTGCTCTCATAGCTGGTATGCCGTATTTTAAAGAAATAATTTTAAATGGCAATAATCAGAGGAGGCACATTACCCAAAACTAAATACCTGCCAAAGGGATCTCTTAGTCCCCAAAAAGGCTCCTCGTAAACTATGAATTTAAAAAAATTTAATTCATAGTTTACAAAGCTTCTGAAATTTTAGCAACCTGCATTTCGATATTCTGTCAACTGCTCCAGAATTGTTGGCATAGTTTACCTAGTATCAGGAACACGGAGGTAAACACATTTCAATATAATTTTAATCCATTGCAGTTTCCAGAGAGATACATTAGAATGGGTTTTGTACTGTCAATTGCCTCCATTAAAAATTTATGCAAATTAAAAAACAGATTGCAGACCTGGATATATTCCTGTATTTCAAGAAGTGGAAATACTTTCAATGAACTCTCTCACCTAGTGAGCTAATTTTAATTTGTTGATCATATTTCAAACAGAAAGTTAAGATTTATCTAGGAACAGTGATAATGCTTTTATTGTGGTGAGCAGATTAAATCAGATAATGCAGTATCGTTTGTAACAAGTTCTTATGTTTTCTGTAGGTGGATAAGCGGAGCAGCTGTAGTCAATGCGTTTTATTCTTCAGGCAGAAATCAGATAGGTAAGGTCTACTCCTAAATAATTATTTAATATTTCTCTGTTGTTCCCAAGCGGTAGTGCTTTGCGTGACCAATTTATTATACTCCCCATAAAAGCACAGCGAGGCTGAGTTACGGATTTATTGAATATCCTCCTTGAAAGTAAATGCATCCGTGTACCTCTTTTCACTATAATAGCAAAATTTAAATCAGTGTAAATCACACTAAGTAGTTTTGTTTCTTTTACAATATTCTAGTTTATAGTTGAATGGTTTGTCTTATTTCTAACTACTTTTATTTTATTTTTAAATACTTTTTTAAAGTCCCTTATATCGCCATAAAGTTTTATTAACTTTAGGACTTTCTAAGCATCAGCATCTTAGGTGGTTTAAAATTCCAAGAACCAAATTTTCAGAAATCCAATTTCTCTGTCGATTTTGTACACTGGCACTGGTAGAGATGGTCCTGTTCTGTATCATCTTTTTTTCTAGATGATTCCAAGAGGCTCAGAAAGTCAATTATGCTAGGTTGAACCATATGAAATTTTATTTATTAACCACTTTTGATCAAAAAAATTTTATATGTTCCCTAGTAGTAGTATCACAGAAATATGCATAGAAATTAATACATGAGTGAATAATATAATGAATAATGAAATGGCTTAATATAACAAAGATATATTTTTTTTGTCTTCCTGGGAACACTGCGACATCTTGAAACTCTCTCTTAAGTATCTCACAGATAGACCCATTTTTCCCCAAGGGTTTTTAGTGTGTAGAAAGGCAACCAACTGATTCAATACTTCAGTGGGAGTATTCTAAACAAACAGTACAGCCAGCTTCTCCAGGTGTACTCAGTCCAGCCCTTCATTTCTCAGTGTAGTCAAGAATCAAGAGGGAAGATAAAATTTGACGACACTTTCCCCCCGTTGCTTTTATTTTATTTTTATTTTATTTATTTATTTTTTTGGCCACGCCACGCAGCTTGTGGAATCTAAGTTCCCCGACAAGGGATTGAATCTGGGCCCTTGGCAGTGAAAGTTGTTGAGTCCTGACCACTGGACCACCAGGGAATTCCCCCCCCCACCCCCATTGCTTTTAAACCTAGGAAGTGTTAAATTAAGAAATCATCCACATTTTCTTCTAGTATTTTTATAGATTTTTATTTTTGGAGCAAATCTTTAGTCTGTCTGGAGCTTATTTTGGTACATGAGATGAAAATGAATTATGATCAGAAAAGTTTGTCTTTACATAACAAATAGGTAATAATTAAGGCATGTGTACTGGGTTAAAGTCAGTTAGTTCGAAGTCTAGGGTAATACATCTCCCAGCTAGTGAAATGATTACCTAAACCTAGATCAGAGCCTGTTTAATGATCAACTCAGAACCCATGCAGTCTATCTTTGTAATGTATTCCTAGACACCATTCAGACCTTTTCTTAGAAGCTCCATTATCTTGGGAGAGTCTTCACTTTGAAGACCTCTTGAGGTCTGTCAGTGTAAGATCTAGTTCATTGTAGACTTGGACAGAACAGGATAATTGACTTTTAATGGAATCCCAGGGCAAATTGAGGTGGCCTTGACTTGAATTCTGCATTAGGGCAGACTAAGGGATATTGCTTTATTTTAATCCAGCTGAGGATCCTATCAGGCCTGACACTGATTCATCCCCATAAGAAGAGCCATACAGACCTGTGGGACCATTCTGGCATGTTCATCCTTTCATTTCTTCTCTAGAGCAGGTCCACCCAGTTTAGGTCAAGATGGGCCTAGTTTGGCTTTGAATTACCCTATAGCCCTGAGACTGGCTCAAAATTGGTCTGCCTCAGGGATTCCCTGATCTGAGAAGACCTGGGAATGTTCTCATTTTGAATTTAATACACTCAAACCAAACAAGCGTACAGCAAAAGGAAAAAGAAGGTAAAAGTGTGCTAACATTTCACAAAGTAGACAAATATCCTCTGAATAGTCAAGAAATAGCTGTGATAAGCATTCTTAATATATAAGAAAGACCTTTTAAAGATACTCAAGATAAATTCATGTGATGGAAATAAGAAATCCGAAAAATTGCTAACCTCTCTTCATATGCTTTTCATATGCTTATCTGCTAATAAAAGCGGTT